TATTCTATTCCAATTTTTAAATTACTTGTATTTTATTTTCCAAACAAAAGTCTTTTAATTGAAACAAATTATAAAGGACCATATTTTATTATAAAAACATTTTTTTAACCGAAAGAAAAAATTAATAAATATTGCCATAAAATTTTAGGTAACTGATGTAAAATGACTGATATGTACCATTTTATGTCTGTATTTGTATTTTACCGTGTATATTAGTATTTTATACGGCATTGGAAATATATTCATATAAGCATAAGCATATGAATTATTTTTTTTATATGTATATCAAAACATTTAACTTAAAATTATGTGATATCTGATACTACTTTTCAAGAAATACCTTAAATTATTCAAATATATTATATTTATAAAAGAAATTTAACTGTATAATAATGAAAGTATTTATTTTGAATAAAATGGTTATTTTATATAATCAACTATTCTTATTCAAAATTATAGTATAATTGGAGATAATTTTTTGTTTTAAATTATATAATAAAATCTTATTTCTTTAATGCAGTAATTTATTTGATTATTATATGTTAAAATAATTATATAATTACAATAAGGTTATTATATATCTTAGTTATTATTATATTTAAAAATATTATATATAGTTTTTTTTAAACTACACTGTATTACAGTATTACTGTATTACAAAATATAACTGTACTATAACTGTATTACAAAATAATAATAAATTATGATAAGCATATTTTATTACTCTACAATTAAATACCATATAGTATATTTTTTAGTAGTCATATAGCAGGTACACATTGATAATAAAACATACATTTTATATGATTTATAACCAAATATTTATTTTCATATTTAAACATTTTTTCTAAGATAGACCAAGATTTGGCTAATGTGATTGTAATTATCAAAATACTGTTAATGATTTAGAAATAACATTTGTTCTTAAAGATTATATATGAAATAAAATTATTCTTTAGTACTTAATTTTAAGATGAGACTTCTAACTAATTGAATCATCAATATCGCCAAATTAAATATATTTTTATGAAAATCGCATATGACAAATTTTAAGGCTTTTTATGAACTTAAAAAATGAATTACTAATCACTAATTATTCCTCCAAAATCCTAAAATGTTTTACCAAATGTTTGATTAAAGTAATAGAATAGCCAAAAATTTATAGAAATTTTAATAAATAATAATTTTAATGATTTTCAACTATTATTCAAATACATTTAGCTAAGTATAAAAACTCGTTTATTTTATTTAATATTTCTATATATAACAATGGTAACTTCTGCTGAAGTATCATTTTAGTAATACTTTTCAATATTTTCGATGATTGTTTATTTTTATAATGTTACAATAATGTAATCGTTTAGTTTTTGATAATTTAAAATATCAGTAAATAAAGGTATGAAAATGAATATGAATTATTTAATATCTTTTATTTTAAACTCTTCTTTTATTTTAAACTATTTTAATATTTTTAATTTAATTTTAGTATTCTATAAATCATTACATTACCTTCTTAACTCAATCCCGTTCAGTGCAGTTTTACGTGTTAGAAATATAAAAAAGATTATTATTATATGAAGTTGTGAAATATTATTTTCTTACTTATAATTCAATTATTTATATTACATGCTTATACGAAATAGTATTTTTTTATCTTTTAGAAATTAACAAAAATATTATTATTAATTTTGATTAATGGAGGTAACTCTTTTAAATAATTTTAATGATATATTTTATATTCATATTTTATCACATACTTTCATCAATTAATTAAATTATATATGTATAAAAATAATATATTAAAAGTAATATACTTATAATAATTATTACTCCCTGAATATTTTCAAAATATTTAATTCAAAGTATTATTTGTTTTAATGCTACGCAATATTAGCAATATCCAGGTTACATATCGTTATGTTAAGCAAAGATAAACTAATGAGTATATGCAGCTTTTGCTAACTAATTAATGTCCAGAAATATACATATATAAATAATGGAAGCATGCCAAATAGTAAGCGCTTAATCCTAAATGTTATTTATAATTGAAATTTTTTTTATCGATTGGCTTTGGGTTTGTAATCTTTATTATATTTTTTTCATTTATTTCATTTTCACTAAGTTTTTTTATTATTATCAAATGTTCGCAAATATAAAAGGAATAATGTAAAACATGTATATTATATAAAAATCTCTAATAATATCTAAACTGTTACAACACAATATTTAAGTTTTCTTTAACATAATAATATAAATTAGTGTAATTTATATTATTAATATTAATCTTCATAATTCTGAGTTCTATTGATATGTAAGTTAGAAATAAGTTTATTGATTATTTTCATATTAATTTAATACTTAAATTCAAACATTTAAATTATTATATTATATAATCATTACAACATTTATTATTAAAAGTATATATTTAAAATTTTTAATTAAATAAGTATTCATTTCAAATATGGATAATATTGTACACAATTATTAATATAATACAACTACATGAAAGGTATTATGGAAAGTTCAGTTTTAAATCTATAATAAACATTAATAAATTTGTATTCTAAAGTTTGATGTATGTTTGTTACAATATTTTTAAAATACTATTTACAAGAGTGGAAGGATATCAAGTGGAACCTGCACAAGCAGTTTTGATTCATACTCTTATAGTGGTACATGTTTTAAGACAATGTGACTTAATCGTGAAAGTATTATACTATACTTTATTATATTGACGAGTAACTAAATATTTATTTATTTTTAATGATTACATTTTGTCAATTACTAAAAAAATGTTAAACATTTAATGTTTAGTTCAATTATTATTTATTAGATTAGATTATATATTATAATTTATTAGAAAAGTTTATAAAAGTTATGTGAACTTGTGTGGATTGATAATTTCTAAAACCATTAAGTTGATTAATTCTAGGCATTGAGAGATAAATTATGAGTTTTTATCGATGTGACATCAACTGTACGTAAGAATTTATTAATCTTCGTCCATTTCAACAAGATTGTCTTAAAATAAAAAACATAAAAAATTGTTTATATATCTAAAGGGATAAACGGATAATTTGTTTACATATAAATTGAAGGAAGTGTATTCACAATATTTGTGAATTGCAATTGTGTCAACTGTGTCAAATATTGCAACTGTATCAAATATACATAACATATTTTTGTCATTTATTTTACAGTTCATAATGAGTATTTATCTCGTAATTATTTGGATCCGCAGTTTATCAAAACTTAGAATTATTTTGTACTTCTTAAAATAAGCAAATTACGTTTTGTTCATAAATAAACAATTATTGTAAATAATAAAATACGATTACCGTATTTATTACAAACAAATAAAAGAGTAAAAAATCGTTCTATTTTAATAATCGAAAATATAATTTATTAATCGCTTAAAAGTCAAAGTAATAATAATTGAAGAAGAAAATGGAAAAGAAATACAATATTAAAGAACGAACGGAATATTTTATAAAAATAAAGAATATGTATAATGAAATATAGGAATGCTTGAAATTGGAACAAGGAAGATGCGATTGTTGGTCCAATTCACTGGTAGTGACGACATAAGTGGGGACAACGGAGATGTAGACGTTTGCTTCCCATCCTGCTAGCATAGAAGAAATTCTAAGTGTATTTATTATATAGAAGGATGACGTCGATAGCAATATCATAGGAGGGGAAATGTCTTTTAGTGGGGAAAAGAAAGCGCTGATATAGTGGCTCTTGCCCTCTCCATGGACATCATGAGCTGGGTTGCTGCTGACTACCTTGTAATATTGAAAGGGGCTAGGCGGATGGTAGAGGGGGCTATGAGCGAAAGCGCGGGCTGAAACGTCGAGAATGCGACCGTGAGCTCACGGGTTACATCGTTTGCTCAGTAATTTAACAGTTCCTCAACGGTTGAGATGAATTCGTTTCTTTGATTATTCGAATGTATCACGTAATTTTTAAAACTCGGCTAAAATTAAACGAGTACGTATATGGATTTGGCGTATGCCTATAGGCATTACCAAAGACAAGCTACAAAGTGCGTATTTTTTCACTTGCATGTGTGAACGCCCATTCAAGGCTCAATTGAATGCAACGCGGTACGTGTCGTGAACGCTGTTTTCATCTGATTATAGCACATTTTCTTTTAGAGTTTTGCTATTATGTTCCGACGGTAAAAAGCAGCATTGCTGTATCCTGTGAACTCTGAACACATAAAAAAGTGAAATGAATATTAACGATAATTGTGTGCACCAAGAGGCCGAGTAGCTTCCTGTAATCCAAGGTTGGTTGTTGGAGGTCGCAGCGATAAGTAAGCGCCACGAGGCAATAACAGTGGTACGCTCACTTTGCTTCGTTTAATTTTAATACATTTTGGCTAGTATTAGTCAAGCTGGATTCCAACAAGCAATACGTGTCGCGATTACATCGCGGCTATCGGAGGCTTAAGAAATTATTCAAGGTAAGAAAGTAATAGCAGCAGCTACTGCTGCTCTAAGACTGCATCTTTCCTCTTTACGTGGGCAAGAGCCTCTGTAAAGCTGCTTTTTGGATAACAATCTTGTCGTTTTCGTTCCATTTTTCTTGTACGTACTTTTCATTTTAACTGTGCGCCTTATTGATCGTGCTTAAATCAGCTCGCTCGAATTGTTTTTCTTCGTCGGTATGTGGCTTAATTCGTGCGTAATCTTGTTCATTACAGAGGCTCATGTTTGTATAGATCCGTCCATTTATATAACATCGTTATACTATTTAAAATTCCAGGCCGGCATTATAAATTCTATCAATGTTCATTCATACTGTTTAAAAACATCAAATGCTATTACGTAATTGCATTTCAAAGATATAATATTGTTCGAGTTCTACGGCGAATTCATTCCGTTGCAGTTCAAAGGTGGCACTACAGGTGAAGGAGTAGGGGAATTAGAAACAATGTTAAATATACCATCAGTCCATTCAAAATAAAGAAAAAGAAAAACGGACGGATCTTACCAAGAAAAATATGGGAGTATATTTCTATGATTAAAAATTTGAAAATTGTACGTCGAATATTGATTTGTCGCTAACCTATCCGGGTAGAAGCACGGCTCCAACTCGTTTCTTTTGCAAGGCTTCAAAATTTGGGCTACCTGCTGGAGATAAGTCTCCAAAATAAAACATGGATGGTGGAGCTGATAGGTTCGGAACTTTAAGATGTCACACGGTATTAAACGATTAAGCGCACTTTAATATTATATATCTATGATACTTAAAAAAAAACTCAACTTTACATTGGGTATTGCATTCACAGACCACAATAAGGAAAAAGAATTGCAGAAATAATATGGTACGACATATAGTACTTATACTGTGAGGGCAATATCATCGAGCTCTAAAATCTGGTGATCTTGCTGAATAGTTGTTGCTGAGACATTTAGTACAGGGTACATTTCAGTTTTATTTCAATGCTACAAGGAAAACTTTTATATTAATTGGTTTTATTGTCTTATCAGCAGGTAGCTCATGAATTGTTTGAAGTATCAAGTTTGTCTTAACCAGTTAGTTTGGGAAATGCATCAAGAGCAGGTATGATATAGACTTGAGTCTCAGTCGCATTCTGTTAACGATTAGATAAAATATTTTATTCTTAGCAAGACCTATTGATATTCAAATTACTTTGAATTATAAGTATATTATTTTATCATTCTGTTTTTATAAGTACATTATAGTATCTTTCTTGGTCTTCTTTACATTCATACAATAACAGGTAGTCCAAGTTAAGTATTTATTGAAATAAAACAATGACCTTGTTGAAACATAAAAAATGTTATAATTGAGTTGAATATATTAATCAAATTCAATTTAATTCAAAAAGTGACAATGTACATCTAATACAATACTTCTGATTTTTGTAGAAATCGTATGAATATCTTAAGCATTAAAAATATTTTGTAAATAACAAAAAATTGAAGATAATAATGTATTTTTGCGATTACCTATTTTCTCTTGCATGCAAATTTAACAAGATGAAGAAATATCTAAGCTGATATCTAATGGGCTATATTTTTGATTAATTGATTACAACATTTGTTACGTCACGTCACGTACTAATACTTTATTCTTGGATAATTCAAGTGTAAAAGATGTAGTACCATTTTCAAGTTTTGTATAAAGTCTTTTTACCTTATATTCTCACAGGTATATTATAATTATTGCTATCTTAAAAAGAAAAATATTGTTATTGTATTTTCACAAATACACAGATATTACAGTTAATTTTTTAATCATATTTTATTTTCAAAATCATATCGATTCCATTTTCTCAAGTCACATTCACATTTAAAGAAAGACAAAAGGATACAAACGAGGAATATTGATAAAATCTTTATTTATAAATTTGTGCACATTTTTCCAGATTATATTTTCATGTATATTTTCTATTTGGATTTCTATTTGGCTACAGTACTTTAATATTTAAATGTCAATGAATTTATACTAACAAATGTATGAGTAAGGTGTTTATTTGATTTTCTACATGTTCCTTATAAAGAACAAATCAAATTTCTATTATTATAATGGAAAAAAAAGTTGCGTGCACATATTGATAGAAAGAATATTTATATGCAACATTTGTACATTTGGATTAGAGTTAATAATCGAAGTGCCGACGGTAATGTCAGTAGAGATAAACATTCTGGTGGATATTTACGACTTGAATAAACATTTAAAAATGTAAAAAATGATGTAATGTGATAAGAGAAGCATTGGAAAAAGGAAATGGCTATTTCCACTATGAAAAAATTGTAGTTATAGATCCTTCCGGATGCAAGTCACCCATTACACTACGCAGTCACCACGTAATTAGGGCTCAGCAGCCAACGGATGTTTCTAATTTTAGATTTGTGTTTCTCTTTACACACGTGCGCGCGCCACGCAAAACGCACACACACACATACAGATCGTAAGCCTTCATTAG